TATATATATATAAGTTCATATATATAAGTTCATGCACATAAAAGCAGCTACCAGTCAGGGCTTTAAAACACAGAGAGCAATTGTGCCACTGTGGTCCTGTCTATGTCATGACTTAGTTTTGAAAGAGTGTGGTGGACTCAGGTGCCATGTGATGCTGCCATGTGGTGAGAGTGTTCACCAGAGAGAAGGCGACTACGACGAGAGGCCTCAGCAGCCAGAGCACAGGAGATCTCAATACGCTTCTCTTGCTCCTGCAACTGCTGCTGGGAGCTGGCTGGAGCTCCACCTTCCACTGGGCCGTCCAGAAGGGGAACCATATTCTGCAGACTGACAGGAAGTACATGAATGTGATAACATTCATAAAAATTAAAATCTCTCAATATATATATTTAGTAAATTTATAAATACCCGCACGGGAAAATATTAGAAAAAATGCATACAAAACCCTCAATTTCTTAATAACATTTAACTTTTCACTAATGAATTACACAGAGTTGAGAAATACATTTCATTACTGTACGTGTTTTTTCTGAAAATGCTGTACCTGAGTTAAGGAAGTCATTCCACCACTGTTCATTTCTTCATTGTCATGTACCAACACAATTTAGAGCAGCTATCTAAACTATACTGCCACACAGGTAAGCTATCACATTAATAGTCCCCACTTTGTCCAATATTGTGAATTTTGTTGTGAGCTAGAGCATCCACCCCGAGTGGAGCTCTCTGATCGTGCAGCGAGTAAAATAGGGGACACTGAGCATTTTCCCTGGATGCATAAACGTCCACGGTCGCCTGACCGAATCGCAGCCAGATCTGCTTCCCTACCTCCGGGTGAAGCTTCCAGTCCCCATACAGCGGGTTGCCCCTGGAGAGAAGATCTGCTCCAAAGTTCAAGATCCCCGGCACGTGAGTTGCTCTCAGTGACAGCAGGTGGACACTGCTCCAGACTATCAGTCTGTGTGCCAGCGTGTGTAACTTGGGGGACCCCAGACCCCCCTGTCTGTTGATGTAGGCCACAAGAGTGGAATTGTCCGACCTCACTAAAACATGATGACCTCTCAGCCAAGGGAGAAAGTGTTT